GGCCAGAGCACTCTCTGTTCAGTTTTGTCCCACAGTCTCCGTGACTTGTAGTCGGGCGACGTGCTCCTCTCTGACTTCAGTGTTATTTCCTATTTCTCGCGCATCTATAAACTTCTTGGTATGAGCTTTGATTTCGTATTCATTGTGCAGTGTAGGGGAGACAAAGACCAAACCCATCCGCTCACCAGACACAGGGGAAGAAAACACATGTTATGAAGCAATAAACAGGCAAGTAAACAGGCTGTGGCCATGGATGCAAACACTTAACTGTCGTAGGCAGCTTAGGTAAATAGTGACACAGGATTTAGGGCCCACTCTATCTCTTAATGCTCCTACTTTTTCATGCTGTTATAAGGGCAATTACATTTCAACATGGCTGTGGATGAAGACAAACGCTTAACCCATAGGAGGTAAGTTCATGCACACAGAAAAGACAATGTTGAATGGAAGGTTTAGGAAAGTCAAGTGGACGATTATTGGTTAATGAGTACAGTGTCCCTGAGATCTATGGTGGTATTTCTATATCAGTGTGATTTTCCCTAACGCCACTGAGCTGAGCACCCACCTTGGCTTAGATGGGAACTTTTTACTCCACAGAGAGTGATGTTTTAGATTATGCTTCTTGATGGGGATCAATTTAACCTCAAGCAAAAATTAGCGTGGATGCACAACAATTCTGCTTTTATCGAACAAGTCAAAATATGATTTTAAAACACATAATAAATTAATTGACTGAGTTCTATAGTGAATACGTATTTATATAAGTGGAAAATCACAAACTTTATTGCATTTGGGGCTGTGTTCTTTACTTCCTGAACTGTAGGAACTAAGATTTACATACATACTTTTATCAATTAATGTTTTTAATCTATCTAAAACCTCCTGAGTTCTCGTTCTCTTTCATATTCTGATATTAAGGCTTGTGAAGGTGTCTAGAATTAACTCTCAGAAGGAATATTGAGAAGAGCAAAAAAAAAAAAAAAAAACAAATTGCAAAGAGAAAAATGGAAGCTGTTTTCCAAAGACCTCAGCCACTTTTCTGCATTTAGTATCCAGGCTATTTTGCAAATGACTCAGATTTCATGACTTTTTGGCTAAAGACAGGGAAGAGGAATTAATGGTTGAATGGGGAAACGGTAAAGTTGTTCCAAAAGCCAGGCAGTGTCAAGAGACCTGGTACCCCATCTGTTCATTTTCCCACCTAGGGTTGACTTTCACCTTCTCAATCATGACTGGCAATGGTGTTCTGTTAAGACTCTTCTGACATCTCCCCAATACTGAAGTCAATGTTCTCTGGCATCTGTATGCACATAGGTCCCAACCTTAGCTTAAACAGGAAACACTGCCCTAGAGGATTGTGACTCAGTCTATTCCAGAATATTTTACCAAACCATAGTTTCTAAAGTAAAATCAGTGTTGGGTTAACCTTAAACATGGATTTATTGGGGAGCTTTTTTATTAATAAACCCTCCATGCACATTGTCAGGATTCAAGGTCTCGAGGATGATTTATCACTTTGCCTAGCAGTAACACTCTACAAATTGTCCCACACCATGAGGAGATGGGATCAGTTATGGGATAGATTCCTGGAGGCCTGATGCCTAGAAGGTCAATGTATTTACTGACACATCCAGTTATAAGCAGGACAGGACTCAGAGGTGGGGCTTCCTAGGCAAAGGCTCAGTTGTTAAAGTCTCAGGGAGATGCAGTCAGACATATCTGTGGAACCCAGGGATCTCTGAAACTCAAGTTTGTGGAGGGTATCTGAGGAGCAGCAGACATCCCAGGTGAGCCCTCTAGGCCAGGGAAGGTAGACCGGAAGCTCACACTAGAGGAGAGTCCTGGGTAGACTCCCAGAGGAAGTGAGCACATTCCTCAGGAAGGACATCTCTTCAACCTCTCCAGCCCCAGTGTAGGGGAGCAGGGGAGGGTGGAAAGAGAAATCTAAGAGATTATGACACCCCCAAGATTCCCACTGTGTGCTAATTCTCAGTAAGAAAAATCTGGTCTTGGCCGCAGAGACATTGAGGGTGTCCTCTGTTTCCAGGGGCTGTGTCCTTCACTTGTTTTGTCAACAGGCATCATTCTCTTGCCTGCGCTTTGCCCCTGGCCTGGCCCTACCAGGAGGGTTGAGAGCCTGATCTTGAGAGTGGCCTACCTTTGTAACTTCCCTACACTGGTGTTTCTGGCTTCTAGCTCCTTGACCATGGGACCTCTTTCCATATTTTAAAAGTGAGTGTGAAGTTGAAGGTACAGTTCAAAGTGTAGAACAGAGGGACTAGTGGATGTTGCCCTTCCCTTATTCCTCAGGGATTAGATACTGAGAAGTTTTTGTTCCAGAAGGGAAGTTCAGAGACCCCATGTGTCTCCTGTTCTATGTGAGTCTGGAAGAATGTGTTGTGCGTGCTCAAACTCCTGGAGTCCCCTTTTTCTGTACTTGGGGTCAGATGTCATGTTAGAAAAAGTTTGTTAGGGTGATCTACTTTTGGTCCAAATATTAAGCTAAGTATACTCTAAGTACTTACTTCAATCTGTAAACTTCTGAACCACAGGGGACACCAATCTATTCTGCTACAGACGTTAACAGAAAGACCAAAGAAATGAAAACTTAAAATAGGGAGATCCGGCATCAAGTATGACGTTGCAAGAGTTGTCAAAAATGGGAGAGGCAAACCTGGTTAGCTATTTAAGGAGGTGGAAAGAGCTTAAGGAAGGCTCCACCTGGTGGGCACAGGTGCCCATCTGAAGTTAACCTGTGATCCATTTTGAAGAGAGTGTATGAATCCTCAACTACCTTGTTCCAGTAGCTGTTTCCTGTTTCTCATTTTAAGCATTTTCTGGAAAAGAATTTTGATCCTAGATGAGGATTATTAATATTTTTGGCCAAGCAATGGTGGCACATGCCTTTATTTCCAGTACTCCAGAAGCAGAGGCAATTTCTGTGAGTTTGAGGTCAGTCTAGTCTACAAAGTAAATTCCAGAACATCCAGGGCAACACAGAAACACTGTCTCAAAACACCAAAAGAAGAAAATTGGTATTTGGACTGACCAAAGCTGGTAGGACTGTCTCATATTCCTAGCTACACTTTGCTCTTGGGTGTTTAGACCATGTAGGTGGTCACAGATTAATGCTGTATATATTTAAAGCCTACTGAGACTGCTTAGAGCTCACTCAGAGTGACTTAGACAGAATTCCTGAATTCTCCAGGTTTTCTTCTCTGTGGTGACATCTCAATGGCTGGCTCAGGGTTCTGCTGACCATGTGGCTTCCTTCAGAAGTGCGGGATGTGTTCATCTCCATTGACTTTTCTCCCTGAAGGATAAACCCTGGTTCCAATGTCTGGAGACACCATGTCCTCAGTGGAGAGAATGGGTCCCATCTTCTCGTGGGTCTTGGCTGACAAGGATTATAACGGCTAACATATTAAGTGTTCTCTTTGACCACCATGTCATTGTTGGTGTTGGTATTGCCCACCCAGGACAGTTTTATCGGTATTGAAATTTCAACTTTCATGTTACACTTGGATAAATTTATACAAAAAGGAAACAATTTTACATGAATCTTGATTTTGCTAAGACTATTTACTCAGATGGTTAAAACCAACAAAATTGACAAAAATCACAAGTATTTATGCTGATTATACTTTTTAAATCAATTTTTGTACATGTTATCATGAGTAAACCATAAGCAAACCAATATCTTAAAAGAATTCCATTCATTTAAATAAAAGTTGGATATCAATGTATCAAATTTTGACCTGAGAAATTTTAATAACCTTTAACCATCAATCATCTATCTCTGTAAACCTCATCTGCCACACACCTGACACATTTACTCAGACTTTTTCCCACCTGTCTTTACTCTTTCTTGATATTCCTCTCATAGTAGAACCTTCTTAGTAAAAATTCTTCTATCATACAAAATCCTTTCTTATCTAAAGCATTCTATTTTCCTTCTCAATCTTTTAACCAAGCACAGCCTCATTTTTATGTTCTTGCTAGCATGTCTCTTTCACCTACTTTTTGTTTCATAGCTACTTTATTCCTCTAAAGCTTGTATTTTTACACCCTTTTCTCTTCATTTTAAAAAAAAAGTTTAAGTTAGAATATGATCATGTAATTTCCTCTCTTCCCTTTCTCCTTTCATTGTCTTTTCCCTCCAACCTCTCCTTTGCCATCCTTAATCTCTCTCAAATTTACCTTCCTGTTTACTATTATGGTTGCATATATTTTGTAAATATGAATGTACAACATTCTGGGCCAGTTTCATGTTTCTTGTACATACATGATTTCAAAGCTGAACCTAGAATTCTGGGACTGACTGGCTCTTGTGACCCACCCTGTACTGGTGGCTCTGGTATCCAGGGTCACAGCCATGGAATCTCACCGAGGCAGGAAAATGAATTTTTCAGTCACAGTTCTCGTAAAGATAATAGAAACTAATGCATGTTGTATATAATGTATGTATCTATGATTGTATACAGAGACTGTTCCCAAAAGGTTTCTGAAGGGAATGAACCAAGACATCTGCTGCATTCGGGCCAAGGAAAAGATTTCTTGTAGTCCCCAACTCTTGGGGCTGTATTTCTCCCTACTTGGGATCATATTCTGCACTAATGAAATTTTGCTCATGTGACCTCAGCACCACCAACACAAAGCCTGAGCCAACTATGTCTTAAGTTTTTGTCTTATTTCTTAAGTCTTTAAGATTCTGAACCATAGGTGCACATACACCCTGTGATGATTTAGGTTCTCAGTGCACACACAGTCCAGTTCCTGGAGCCTGGCCAGTTGCTCTTCATTTTAGTGGATAAATCAAATCCCTCTGTATGTCTACTTTAGGCCAATCAGAATCTTAACTTTTTTCACAGTGTATTATTTAGGGCAGTTCAAATGATTTCCTTCCACCATTATGGTTTTAATTTCTAGATAGAAAATTAAATTTTCAGAGGCACTGATGCAATTGGAATCTCATCTCTTCTCCTCTAGGTTTATGAGACATGATTGTTGTTCTCTTCTTTGTCGCCCTCTGCTTGGAAGTCGACTCAGCTTTTATCACACTGGGTCCCAGTTTGGATGCTGAGGGGCATGAATGGAAGACAAAACATGGGAAAACATACAACATGGTTAGTAACAAGGAAATTCCCATAGATGATCGGCCTGGCTTTGTGTTTTTATGTATTTGCGTCCTATGGCCATACCATAGGTTCTGGAATCCAACTCTACTCAAGGCTTAAACTAAAGACATGCTCCATGTGTACTATGTGACAAAAGTCCCCATTGCTGTTGGGTGATGTGGACAATGGCTTCCAGAAGAGTACACCATCTATTGCCATGGCCCCTCTTCACCAGAATGTCCACTGAGTGAACTTGGGTTGAACTTAAAATAAAAGGAAAAATCACAACTTGTATTTTTTCCAGAAATGAAGAAAGTCTGAGGAGAACAGTGCGGGAAAAGAATTTTAAAATGATTGAACTGCACAATTGGGAATATCTCGAGGGGAAGCATGAATTCACCCTGGCCATGAACGCCTTTGGTGACCTCGTGAGTGTGACATGAATAGCATCACATGGTATTTCTCCTCTTCAGTTCTTTATAAATACCCTCAATCACTTGTTGCCTTTCTTGAAGACCAATACAGAATTCAGGAAAAGGATGATTGGCTTTCTACGGCAGAGGATGAAGAAGAGGCACACGTTCCAGGATCATCTGTTTCTGTCTGTCCCCAGATCTGTGGATTGGAGAGAACGAGGCTATGTGACTCCTGTGAAGAATCAGGTGTGGCCGTGTGATGTCCCCAACTTCCCCTACTCACAGGCGGCTAAGAAACAAATGCCCTCTTTGCTTTTTCAGACGGTGGAGCAGCATGCCGTTCACTGCTTTATAAAAGTATTCTGATGTACAAATTATTCACAAATATCCGTTATTAGACTTGCTAACGAGCAACGACCTTTTCTTTACTCCCTAGGGTCATTGTGCTTCTAGTTGGGCTTTTAGTGCCGCTGGAGCCCTAGAAGGACAGCTGTTCAGGAAAACAGGGAGACTGATCCCGCTGAGTAAGCAGAACCTGCTGGACTGTGTGGGATTTAATGTCACCCATGGCTGCAGCGGTGGCTTCCTGCAGCACGCCTTCCTGTACGTGAAGGACAGCAGCGGCCTGGCTACTGAGAAGTCCTGTCCTTACAAAGGGCAGGTGAGTGGAATTCCGGTGCTCTTGCCAGTACAGCTCAGGCTGTGGAAAGCAGAACAATTGCAGAGCCATTGGCTCTCTTCAAACTTGCTTTGTTACTGATTTATCTTTTTACTGCTGGAGAATTGCATGCACACATATAATGTGCTTTGACCAAATCCATACCATTCCTTTGCTGCTAACTCCTCCCGTGTCACCCCCAAACACTTTTCCTTCCCAACTTCCTGAGCCCTTTTGTTAATCTCACCAAGCCCACATCATACTCCATGTGTCCAGGATAGGACCATTTATTGAAGCGTAAGCAAACTCTCAGGCCACATCCCTAAGAAAACACTCTTCTCCTACAGCAGCTCTCAATTGCCAATAGTTCACAGCTAGGGGTGGGACATCATGATCCTTACCATTGTCCGTGGTGGTATTTGGCAGGGTGGATCTTGCATAGACCATGTGTTTAAAGTCACAACTCTGTGACTTCCTGTGTGCAATGCCCCTGATGTGTATCAACATCAACATACACTTTGTCATTACAGATGCTCATTATCTCTGGCTTTTACAACATCTTAGACCGCACTGCCCCACAATGACACCTAACTCTGATCTAGCATCTACATATGAGCGAGAGCCTGACGGAGTTGTCACTCTGGGTCTACGCTACCTCACTCAGAAATATTTCCAATTCTAACCAGTAGCCTACAAACTTCGTAAGTTCATTTTTCTTTATGACTGAACATATCCCATTGTGTGTATGTACCAAGTCTTCATTATCCATTTGCAAGCTGATGGACATCTAGTCTGTTTCTATATTCTGGCTACTATAGATAAAGTAGCAACAAACACGGGTGAGCAAGTACTTTAGTGCTAGGTTATAGACCCCGTGTTCGTTGCTACTTTATCTATAATAGCCAGAATATAGAAACACTCTGATTTCCATAGTGCATGATTTCTGTGAGTGCTCGGCTAATCGGCACTCTTTCCAACAGTGAGTAAGGATCCCCTGATCCACATTCATGTCGTCTTGTTTTGGTCACTTGTTTTATTATCTTGGCTATTCTGGCCATAGTAAGATGAAATTTCAAAGTAGCTTTTAATTTGTATTTACTTGATGACTAAGGATACTGAACATTTTGAAAAGTATTTCTTGTCTCTCTTATTCATTCTTTTCGGAACTCTGATTAGTTCTAATCCCCTCAAATTTGATTAGATATTAGTTTTCATGGCGTTTGTTTTGTTGTTGTTGTTGTTTAATCTTTGTGTGTTCCATATATTAATTTTCTGTCAGATGAATAACTGTTAAAAGTTCCCATGTTCCGTCTTTATTTGAATGATGGTTTCCTTGGCTGTTTTGAGGGGTTTTAGTTTCCTGAAGTCCTATGTGTGTCCTTTATTTGTCTTTTTTCTTAAGACTCGACCATGTGACGTGGGGCTGAAGAGATGGTTCAGCAGCTAAGAGCACTGGCTGCTCTTCCTGAGAACTCAGGTTTAATTCCAGGCACCCACAGGGCAGCTCAGAGTCAGCTCTACTCTGAGATCACATACTCCCTGCAAGCATCAGCCACATATATGGTGCACAGACATACACACAGGCAAAACTAGCATAAACAAAAAATAATAAAATAAAATAAAAATTTTAAAGTAAAATGGAAAAAAAGATGAGGCCACATTCATTCATTAAATTTTCATAAAAAACTATTTAAAATGTCTCTCTCATTTAAGATAAAATTCACTTACACAGAGTTCTAAAACCTTTAAAGAAATACACATGATATTATTTAAAAATACAGATTATAAGCATAGAAGGAAAACATTATCTTACTGTGAAATGGAGGCGTGGAGGTCATTAACTTCCCAAAGCACGAGGCAAAGGGTTGAGTTCTGTGGGGGTGCACTGGATACACATTTTTCCAGATTAGTTGTGACTTTCCTCTGACTTCTGCACTTTTTTTCATGTAAAATATATTGAAGACATCCATCCATTCTACCTTAGAAAGACAGTAACCGATGATTCCATGAATTTGGTAATATTTTTCATCAGACTAAAAAATGCTCTCTTGTCTGGTTTGGTTCTGAGGCAGCATCTTACTATGCAGCCTTGGCTGGCAATGAATTCAGTACGTTTGCAACCCAGGCTGGCTGGGAACTAGCAGAGCTCTCTGCCCGTGCTTTTCTGCCAACAGCATCGTCTGAGAAAGAAGGAGCTCCCTGAGTCTTGGCAAACTAATGACAGAGAGAAATGAACTATGAAAGAGCCGTTTCCACATCCAGGGTTTGGAAATGTGCTATTTCTTAAGAGGTATGAGATTTTTGTCTGTTTGTTTCCATATATTTTTCTACATTTATTTCCTGGTTTTTGTTCCTCCTGGTAATCTATTAACTAAACCTTTTGTTCCCTGCAAACACAGTTTAATGATTGTATGGTATCTTTGTACGTGGTTGCCCTGATACAAACTCTGCACAAGATGCACTCTGGATCCTTAGGGGTTTTTGCTCTTTGGGTCCACAGCATTCCTTGTTGAAAATTCACATTGCAGACTCAGAGTCTTGTTTCATGGACCAAGCTCTCCTATCTGCGGCAGCCTTTGCCTCCCAAGAACTAGGGTTAAAGGCATGCATAACCATTCCAGGCTCATAAAATGTTTTCTTGCAAATAGTCAAGACAGACTTTCTCTAGCAGAAAGGAGTGGTTCCCAGGACACCTACATCACATGGGAGTGCCTTGCTCCAAAGGAAAGATAGACTGCATTTGTAGTACAGTAATTAAGTTCTCCTAGATCATTCATGGAACAAGATGTTAACAATGCCTTGCTAATAGAAGCAGCTGGCAGAGAGCTGCAGAAGATGTACTCATAAGTTGCTGTGATCCCAGAATCCTATCTATAGACAATGAAACATGAATCTAGGCCCAGAGAGCTAAGTGATTCAGCCTACATTTTTTAACGAATAAAATGAAAAAGAAGCTTTAGAGAGGATCTTGCTTGAATTATGTTGAGGGCTGTGTTCTTAAATGGTTTTAGAATGAAAAGAATAATCTTGGTTAAGAAGTAAAAGTAAGGCTGTGTTCAAAATGGCAGAATTGTGCCCCAAATTGGAACTTTGTTATGAACTAGTATAGTTCTCTAAAAGTCATCAAGAGATAAGAGCTCTGACCCACAGAGCATCTGACTTACGTCAGGGTATCCAGGTGACTGAGATCCCCAGATGGTTAAGGGGACTGCCTAACTTCCCTGACTCCTGTCTCACGTTCATCAATCCTGATTCAGCAACAACTGCAGCATGTTATCTCAGACCATTGGCTACCAGGACAGACGGCGTGGAGTTCTAGTTTAAGCTAACTGATGGCGTTTAGATGTCAGCAATTCCTCAGAATGGGTTCTATAATGAATTCTACGGTGTAACTTCAGACCAAAGAACATATCACATCTTTTGCAACTAAAGGCTGTCATGCCACTGAATTATCTGATGTGTCCTAAGACCTGAGTATCAAGTAAATGTTGCATTCCTTCCATTGGTAAGGTTTCTCTCCCGAACAGATCCTCTAGGGGGTTTTAGGTGTGGCTCATACTTAAAAGCCTTGTCACATTCTTTACGTTTCTGTGGTTTCTCTCCAGGATGAAATTTCCCACTTGAGCTTCAGCTTCTGAAGCAATTTCCACCCTTCCTACATCTGTGTGGGTCCCCCTCCCCTATGCATTCTTTGCTGCAGAAGTTTGAGTGCAGGGTCAAAAGACATCACGTTCTCAATGTTTGTGCTCTTTCTTCCCCGGATTCTGACTGAGAAGGTTAAACATTTGTCACGGTCTTATATTTCAAAGATCCTTTCCAGGGCCTAAGCCTTTTTATCTACTGGAGTTTGAGGATTCACCAGAGGTAGTCCTGTGGCTACTATGTCTGTTTCAGTTACAGATTTCCCCTGTGTTGCTTGTTTTGTAAAGTGTGTGATTGGGGGAATCATAAGACACTTTGCTGATCTCATTCCATTTATGACTTCTCTTGAATGCTCACAAACTGATGAATAATATGCTTTGAACTTTGACCCAAGATCTTCTCATACTTAATTACATAGCCAGACTACTGTAGTTCTCCAGCATCACATGGCTACAAGCCCCGAGTAGAGTCCACACATTCCCACTGCTTCTGGGAGAAGTCCTTAGCCACATCCTTACCGTCAATGAACCCTGGGACACATTTTCCTGAGAAGTAGCCATTTCTCCTAGTGCTCCTCTCTGACTTTCTTTCTCAGGAACAATGACTGACCTCTTCTTACACTGCTACCTTTCCTACTGCCTCCCTCTCTTTACCTCCTGGAGCTCTCTGTTAGCACAGTGAGCAGGCCTGGTTGATCAGTGTAAGACCTGGGTTCCAGAACCCTGAGTTCTGTTCCCACCAGGCTTCTTCAAAGAGTACTTTCCTGGGACATTCTGCAGGGCTCCTGCCTCTGCAGTGAGTTTTCAGGTCCCTGTGAGAACACTGGCCGATTTTCTGTGTCAGGCCGGTTTCCACACCACACTGTCTCAGGAGGTTCCTCTGGAAATGTTGAGTTTTTCTGTCCTGCTTGCCCTTGGGTACTCAGCACTTTTCTAAATTGTTGGTCCTAATGACCTGTGCTACAAGGGGCCCTGTTCAGAAAGTCCTTTCCTATGTGTCTAACTTAAAGTGTTTTCTTACTTTCTCCTAAAACAAATTTGGGCTATCAGATCTTAGGTTGAAGTCCTTGGTCTATGGAGTGGGTTTTATTCAAGGTGATAAATAATGATCTAACTTAATTCTTTTATGTGTAGCTATCCAGTCTGACCAGAAGGATTTGTTGAAGATTCTGTCTTTTTTCCAACTGGTATTGTTGGCTTCTTTGGGTGAGAAAGTAGGTTTATGCCTGGTCTAGTCCATTGTTGCATGTCTGTTCTGGTGCCACTGCCAAGCTGTTCTCATGACTGTATCTCTGTGATAAGATTTAAATCAGGGGTGGTGATAACCCCAATTGTTTATTGCTCAAAACTGTTGTGGCTGTCCTGTTATGTTTGTTTATTTTGGTGAGGGTGTATATGTGTGTGGCTGTCCTGTTATGTTTGTTTATTTTGGTGAGGGTGTATGTGTGTGTGTGTGTGTGTATGTGTGTGTGTGTGTGTGTGTGTGCATGCATGCATGCATGTGTGTGCTTCCATAAGAATTTAAAATTTTTTTAATTTCTGCATAGAATTGCATTGGAGTTTTGATGGGGATAGCACGGAGCCTGTAGACTTCAGCAGAATGGGTAGTCACAGTGTTAGCCCTACCTCTTCATGAGCATGGGGGCAGTTTGTGTCTGCTCATCTTCTGGTATCTTCTTCAATCTCTTAAAGTTTTCATTATATAAATCTTCACTCACTTGGCTAGCTTTATTCCAAAACTATTACAAATGCTATTGCGTCCCTCATTTCCTTCTCAATGTGTTTGTTGTTAGTATATAGTTGGGATATAAATCAGAACACACTAAGATCTGCATTCTGCCTTTGTATCTTGATACATTGCTAAATGTATTAGTTCATTCATTAATATGTTAACTAGGGATTTTCTGGTAGCATCTTCACAGGTTTGTGGGTAGAGGAAAAACAACACCTGCGAATGAGGACTTGCAGGGGCTGTGGCTTTGTCTGTTTCCTCTTCATCTTCTTCGCTTTCTTACTGCACTAGCTGAGATTTAAATGAAATGGGGGGGTTGGGTCCTGGGAAATATTAACAGGACTGAAAATTATTTGGCCAAATTAACCAAGAGAAAGTGAGAGAAGGTCAAAATTATTAAAATTAGGTAGGGAAATGGAGCTATTACAGTAGACACTGGGAAAATTCAGTAGTTCAAAGGCTATATGTTAAATTTTTATATTCCTCTGAACTAGAAATTATTAAAGACATGAGTGAGTTTCTGGATGCATGTTACTTATCAAATTTAAATCAAGATAAAGTAAATAATTTATGTGAACCCACGACAATTGACATTGATTCTGTAAATAAAAATGTCTTAGTTATAAGGAAGCCCAGGGCCAGATGGATTCGGCACAGAATTTTGCCAATTCTTTCCACAGAGAATTAGCATCCATTGTCCTTGGATTATTCTACAAATTAAAGAGGAAGGAACACTTACAATTATTTTATGAAGCCCAAAGTAACCCAAGAGAAAAGCTAGACAAAAGTCTAAACCAAAAAAGAGAATTATAGGCTAATCTCTCAATCACTTTAGAAGCAAATTAAATTCTAAAACACATCCAAATGATCATACACCATAATCAAGTCAACTTCATCCCAGATATTCGAGGTTGGTGCATATACTTAAATTAGTAAGTGTAATTCACCACATAGACTCAAGGACAGAAACCACATGATCATTTCATTAAGTATAAAAAAAAGACCTGTAGCAAAATCCAACATTGCTTCAAGATAAGATTCCTGGGGAAATCTGTGGATACAGAGAACATAACTCAACATAATACAGCCGATGTGCTACCAGCCCACAGTCAACATCATGATAGATGAAGAGAACCTCAAGCATTTTTCTGACATCACCATTAAAGTAGTAGGACCTGCCTGTAAGCCATCACTGCTGTCATGACAGTGTTAGCCCGTGTATGGTTATGTATTTTGATAGGGTACTTTCCAAGGACCCCTTCTTTCTGCTGTGAACACAGAGAACAGGGAAGCCACTCCACGCGGTACAGATCTCTTCACTGTAAATATTTGTTATGAATAAAGGACTATGGAGTGTCATTGGATACCAATGAGCTAATTTTCAGACCCAAATCTCCCAGTAGAATTTCACTTCCTAAAATGGTTTATAAGAGCACAGACTTGGAGCCCCTCATCTGCAGTGGGCTGAGTTCTGTGGTTCTAGCTCATCTTCTCTGGGAGGTGGATAGCCATGAATGAATTTCTTTCTCCTCAACTTTAAAAGGGTAGAGAGTGCAGGTACCATGCTGAGATCTCTGCAGCTAATGTCAGAGACTTTGTGCAAGTCCCAGGACACGAGAAAGCCCTTATGAAGGCAGTGGCTAAGGTGGGGCCCATCTCTGTGACAGTTGATGCCAGCCATAGCTCCTTCCAGTTCTATGAGAGTGGTAAGTGTCTTCCTTCTAGAAATCCATGCTAAAAAGTTGTACTGCCACCATGACAAATCAATATCATGATTTCTTTCTTAGCGTTAAATGTATATGCTCCCATTTGTAAATTTTACAAATTCTGTAAAAAATTCTATATAAATTTTCCTATTTTGCATTACTTTAAAACAATTCCATGAATGAGAGCCAATTGATGTTTTTCAAATTAGCCTAATGTTTCATGTGGTAAAATTTACTTGAATTTTCTCCAGCTGTTTGACCTTTAAAATTCTAACCAGATATTTTATTTATGTAGAAAATTATTATAAGGAACCTGTCAGTTCTATTAATTTTTATTTTCTGTGGGTTTTGCTTGAACTCACCTACAAGTAAATCAATAAGATTTCTCACATGCATCCAAGCAACCATTTTACCAAAGGATTTATTCTAATTTTTTTCTGGTACATTTACCTGACAGCTTACAGTTTTAGCCCTGATAACAATGAAACCTCTTGTTTAGTCCTACGTGGTGTGTCTGTCATTCCAGTGAGCTTAGAAATGTTTCTCTTATTGCTGGTGACATGGTACTGGGAGGTCACTGGAGCCTCTCAACTCAACTTAACTTTGGTTTTACTTTTTTAGGCATTTATTATGAGCCACAGTGCAGAAGGGTTCACCTAAATCATGCTGTTTTGGTGGTCGGCTATGGCTTTGAAGGAGAAGAGTCAGAAGGCAACAGTTACTGGCTGGTCAAGAACAGTAACTTCAGAAAACATTTATATTTGAAATTCAAAAGGGAACTACTGTCATCAGTATTTGGATAGATGGACCAGCGGTTCCGTACACGTGTAGGTAGAAGACATCCTGTTCTTTCTCTGCAGCGATTTTCAGAGCCTGTGTAATTCAACTACTGGTATCCAGGAGATGAACCTCTGTGTCTTCTGAATCTTTCCTTAAGTGTGGTTTCTGACATGGTGCTTACGGGAGGTTAGTGTAATGAACCTTCTGGGCTGTGTTCTTTCTGTTTAATGACAGCCATGCTCTTCTTCCAGCTGGGGTGAAGAATGGGGCATGAAAGGCTATACGAAAATGGCCAAGGACCGAAACAACAATTGCGGAATTGCTATCTATGCCACCTACCCCATTGTGTGAGCTGCTGGGGGCAAGAAGGACTGGGCACAGCGTGTGCTAAGGAGGGCGTTCCGCTCCACAGACCAGCTGCTGCTGTGTGGAGAATGACACCTGAGTCACTGAGGATCCATTCATGTTTGATGTGAACTAAATTCATAAATATCAGTGACATAAACAGATTTGTAGCAGTGAATCTCTTACAAAAAATTTGAATTTTCATTTTTAAAAGAATGTACAAATTTACATATTCAAAGATGAAGCTTAGTTTCAAAATGATAGTGGGAATTCTTTTTGTAGTTCAACCCTTAATGAAACATGAGGACATAATTGTTTGTGTGTGTGTGTGTGTGAGAGAGAGAGAGAGAGAGAGAGAGAGAGAGAGAGAGAGAGAGATTCAGTCAATGATGCCAAAGGAAGAAAAGAAATCAATGTGTCCATACAGAAACTCTTACAATGTTGTCCGTTGTATTGAGTGTTCCCATTCTGTAAGAACAGGTCCTGTTGGTACCTGAGAATTCTTCATGATAAGGAACGTTGTCTGTGACCTCCTAGAGCAAATGCCTCTGTCTGGCCAGGGTTTAGAGCACATGAAGTACCCATTTTGCCTTGCCATAGTTTTATGAAATGAGAGTGTTCCTTGCAATCCAAAGATGAAGAAGTAAACTTGTGCAATCAATCGGATGAGGAATTGCTCAATGCTTTGTAGCTGGAGGACAGAGCCCATTTGAACAAGACTCAGTGTAGACAAGAGATTGCACAAAGAGAGGGCAAACCTGAGCTGTTCCAGGCCCATCTCCCTTCATCTCTGGCCACATGGGTGGCAACGACAGCAGGGATGAACTTCCCTTTCCAGAAGACTTCTTTTGCTCTTGACCAAGCATTTTCTTCTTAGTTGTGCCTTTCTGTTTGGGTTCAGGGAACTGATCTCTCTTGATCTACCTGGGTTCAGAATCATGAGATACAGGCACTCAGAGTGGTTGGATTTCTTTTAGAGACCCAACAAAGCCATTGTTAACTGTGAGTGACCAAGTCAATGTCACTAATATACGGCTCTATTTACTCTGGCCATTATCATATCCCCACAGCCTGTATATCGACAAGGGCTGAAATTCTCTCAAGGGTTAGAGTGGAATATTAGAAGGTATATCCCTTGAGACAACAACAACAAATTCAAAATTATACAGTAAATTTATTCTCAGATAAAAAGACAGAAAGATGAGATGTAGGTAGATTTAACATGTGTCTCTTTAACATGTACCTTTAACATATGTGGACATCTTGTTATATGGGTAGAAAGACAGTGCTGTTTTACTCATTTGTACTGAGTGAGTCAACTTCTTAATGCACGGGAGTCAGCAAATGGCAAGTGCCCCACAGCATTAATTGGTTTGTCTTTGCTTACAGTGTTGTGGGAAAGTGATGCCAATTTCAGAAAAGAGAGACAACACAGTTACGAGCAGTTTGTCAATTCCTTCTTAACTACTGGCTCCGACTTTTAAAGCGAAGGCCAGGAATCCTTACGGTGAAAAACACGAATAGATATGTTCACCTACCCGGTGTATCTGAGCTCTGGAGACAAGCTCAGAAAGAATTCATGGAAGACTCCTAAGTACTGAACTGAGAGACAATTTTATTATAAAGCTGTGATGGTGAGCTTTATTTTTAAATGATAATTTACTGTGCTGGACAACTTGTAAAAACAAAATTGTATTTAGCTTATAAGCCATGTGGAAGTTGCTCCTATCTCGAGAAAAATGTGCCCTGTCAGCTACCTTACCCAAAATGGATGACTTCCCGAGCAGTTGGACTATTCTTAAAACCTGCTGACTGTTGTAAAATCTCCCATTGCCTCAACTATTCTTACAAGATAATGGGTCACATGACTAACAGGCTAACTGCTAAGTTCTACTTTTATATAAAACGCTTACTTGCTCAGAATAACTGAGGAACCTGTCTGAAACTGTTTAAAATAATTAAGCTCTGCCTTCACCTAAATAGCATAAGCATTAACTTGACCCCCTAATTGCAATTTGTTGGGTTTTACCTTTAATGTCCTTGAACTAACAATATCTGAGGCCTAACCTAGAGAATTTTGAGGCTCTGGTTGGGTACTGGCCAGTACTTTTAATAAAAACCATCTTCTTATTAAAGTCATATTCATTGTCAGATTGGCGAATCTCTGAATGACCCCACACTCATAACAAGCAAGGACTGGGTGTGGGGTCCTCAAGAGAGAATCACCATCACAGGGTTTTCTTGAAAGACTTTGCACTAAATGTTGCACACCGCCATGTCCCACCATGATGACAATAGACCGAATGTCTGGACCTGTAAGCCACACCACTAAATGTTTTGTGTGTAGGAGTTGCTGTGGTCATGGTTTCTCTTCAAAGCAGTAGAAATCCTCGCTAAGACAGGCACAGACTTGGCATTTAAAGCCCAAGTGCATCATGAAGGGACCTCGGTGATCATGACGAGCTCGGTCTCTGGAGCATGTGTAAGAAGGAGTGACATCCTCAGTGACGTTACAGCCGAGCCATGCTGGAATGGGGAGCGGCATTGGAAGAGGATCCTGGAGAAACACCTCATGAAATCGGGACGATCCTGAGAATGGGATTATTAACTCAACCTCAGCAGCCCTGGTGTGGAGAAGTAGAGGAGGGAGTGAGGAATCCAAGGAGGATTCCTCTCAGAAGGTCAAAGGGGCAAAGGGTCACCGTGACTACAACCATGAGTCTAACTACAAGAAGTATCAGCTGGCCTTCATCATATAAGCTGCTCATTTCCAGTAGCACACTTCCTCCAGCCAAGCCACACCTCTTAAGCCTACCCAAATAATGCTAGTAACCGGAACAGGTATTCACACAACTGAACCACATCTGGTGGGGTGTCTTGGTTGGAGTTTCTATTACAATAATAAAAAAACATGGTCAATGCAACTTGAAAGGGTTTATTTGGCTTGCATATCAGTCCATTGGGAGAAATCAAGGCAGGAACTCAAGCAGGGCAGTAACCTGGAGTAAATGATGCAGATGCCATGAAGGAGTGCTTTCTATTTTCTTGCTTCTCATGGTTTGCTCAGATTGATTTCTTATAGAAACCAAAACTAGCAGTCAAGGTTGGGCCCACCCACAACGGCCTGGGTCCTCCTTCATCAATCACTAATTTAGAAAATGCCCTACAGGCTTGTGTATCTTTTTTTTTTCGGAGGCATTTTCTCAGTTGAAGCTGCTTCTTCTCTAAGAACTTTAACTTGCGTCAGGTTGATATGAAACTAGCCAAACATTCATACACAAACCACCACATAATGTAAACGTCTACTACGTACAATACATGAAAATATTAAGAAAGCTTTTACAATACTATGCATTTGTGTGGGATGTTCGTAGGTCTCTACTATTGCTTACCTTTTGCTATATTCCCTCCTCTACCTTATCTTCCCAAGCCCCACCTCACTTAACCCTTCTTATTCCATTATCAAACTCTTTTTCCTCTCTTAGAGGACCTGACCTTCTCTATTTTCTTGACTCTTTTAAGCAAGTATTGCCACGTTAGAGGAAACTCATGGCGTTCGTATTTCTGGTTCTGGGTTACCTCACTCTGTGTGGTTATTTTCAACTCCATCAGTGGGCCTGTGTCTTTCATAATTTTATTTTTCTTTACAGCTGAATAGCATATCATTTTATACGTGTGTGTGTGTGTGTGTGTGTGTGTGTGTGTGTGTGTGTGTCAAATCTTCATTATCCATTCATTCCTCAGTTGACAGAAACGTAGGATGTTTTCATTTCCTAGCTATTGTGGACAGAGCGGCAGTGAACATGGATGGGCAGGTATCTTTATAGAAGGAGATAGAGTACAAATGGATGGGTAGTAGGCCTACTTCTAGATTTTCGAGGAACCTTCACACTGATTTTCAGGCCGGCTTCACTAGCTTGTGTTTCCACCAGCAGTAAGTAAGTGTTCACCCGTCTCAGCATTAGTTTTTTTGGTTTTTGTTTTTCCTTTTTACATCTTAGCCATTGTAACTGGAGTATGGTAAAGTATCAAAGTAGTTTTAGTCTGTGTTTCCCTTATGTGTGCAATCTACCAGACCTCTAAAGAGGAACCAATACCAACTCTTTCCAAACTGGTCCGCAAAATAGAAAAGGAAAGGACATTTCAAGATTATTTTTATGAATCCAGTAGCACCTCAATACCAATGTCAGACTAAGACCACAAGAAATGATAGACTTATGTGCTAAACTTTCTGATCTATATAAATGTATTAATACTCAATAAAACCCTAACCAACTGAATCCTAGATCACATCTAAAGGCTCACCCATCCTGACGAAGTCATCTTCACTTCAGAGATGCAGAGCTGGTACATATGCCTAAATAAATAAATGTAATCAACCACACAGACTCGGTGACAGAAACCATACTATCATTCTATTAAATGCAGGAAAGGCCTTTAACAAAATCCCACACTGCTTTGTGATAAAAGTCCTGGAGAATCTAGGGATACAGGAGACACAGACTAACTAACATAGTTAAGTCAATGTGAAGCAAACCCACAGCCAATACCTCTATAAATGAAAAAAAGCTTGAAATGTGTTCACAGAAATAAAAAGAAATCCACGTTTAGGTCTTAGAAGCTCTCTGTAAACCATGGGTGCTGTCATTACAGCGCCAACCTAAGTCCCAGACTTAGGGAGTATCATAGAAGATGTGCAAGCTAAGTTTCCCTTTCAGACCTTTCAGTAGCACTGCCTTCCAGCGGTGTTTTATAAGAGCACAGACTTGGGTATCCTCATCGGCAGCAGGCTGAGGGCTGCGGTTCTAGCTATGCTTCCTATGGAATGGATGGCAATAACTGAATTTCACCTCCTTCAACTTTAAAAGGAGAGACCCTGCAGGCAAGACCCCAAGAATTCCACAGTTAGTGTAACAAACTTTGGGCAAACCCCAGTGAGTGAGGAGGCCCTGATGTCCATCATGGCAAAGACAGGGCCCTTCTCTCTCACAGTTGATGCCTTCTGT